AAAAAAAAAAAAAGAAAAAAACACACACACACACACACACACAACAAAGGGCAGACAAGTTTCCATAAATTCCTCACTTGAAGAATTAATCACACTGAGCCATAATTGATGCATGATTATACTTACAGGGGTGCTATTTCTGGCAGGTTCAACATTTTTCAGGCCATCACGCCAAACTGCAGGCATTGAAGCAGAAGGTTCATGATACGCTGGATTCAAGAAACTCTGATCAAGTGAAAAAGGGTTAACAACTCCTTGTTTATTTCCACCAGGGGACAGCTTTGAGGACGGGATTGTATTGTTATTGTCAGTTCCCGCAGGCAGTGAGTTCTGAGGCACATCAAATGTTGCCCATCCTCCATTGTTTGGCATTACCAATTCAGAATTCTCGCCTCCAGAATAAGCAACAGACTGCTGTTTTGGTATAGCTGTGAGATTCTGCAGCTCACTGAATGTTGCCACGGAAGGACTAGAAGATTGTTGGAATAAATCAACAGGATTAGCCAAAGACTGCTCCGGAATATGAGTTTTAGGTGTAGAGGTGACATTTTGAGGTGCAAAGGGTTCACTAAAGAGGTCTAAACCGTTGAAGGTGGTGGGAATTGAATTTTGAGGTGAAGGAAAAGAAGGCGTTTTGTTATGAAACATGTCCAAGGATTGCTCAGGTTCAGAGACAACTTCTTGCAAGCCGATAGAATTTACAGACTTGAAAGACATGGAGTCGAACGATCCAAAGCTACCGGAAGATGTGGTTCTCTGCATATAAGAGTATTCGGCAATCAGGCATTTGTGTGATGAAATTGGCACAATCTGCCACAATTTTAACCAGAAATCTATAAAGTACATGTTCAAGTTAGGAAAGTTACAAGTCAGTGTTAAAGCACAAGTAGACAACTTTGGCAGAGGACATAACCATCTTCCTGCTGTAAATTATGTAAAATGTGAAATAACAGTTCTCTGTAAGACCTTCCCTCTTTTAATCTTTTTTCATTACATGAACTTGTTCAGACATTGAAGAAAAAAATGTAAGTGCAGTGTTATCAATAGCGGATGGCCGAAAATGGTGGCAGGCCGAAAATACTGCCATGGCAGTCTGTGGCGCCACCATAACCGGCATCCTTCACAACTTCTCATGATGGTAAGGAAGAAATCCACCACCCCATACGACCATGATGGTTATTTGATAACACAGAATAAATTACTAGTGTTAACCATTGCGGAGCAGAATTCATTTATAACATAATAAATTATTGATCTTCCTTCATAAATTGTACACAAAATAAGTACAAGAACTCCAGAATAAGTACATAAAATAAGAACAAACACTCCAGAAAATAATCATGATTTAGTAGTAATGCAGATATCTATATAAAATAGAGTAGTCTCGCAAATAGAGCCCTAACCTTCTAAACTTCTTTAATAAATCTAGCAGTTGAAAAGATATCACTGTCATTACCTGTCTTTTCAATTTTGCCAGTTTTTTTTTTTCTATTTCTTGAAGAGTGTGAAAGATGGGAACAAGGAATGCACTTTTCACACTTCCAGTTGGCAGCATAGTCTAAAAATCTACTAGGAGAGTCATGAAAATTCCATAGAAACCATTTTTTACTGCAACACTTCACCCACCAGCATTTCCAAACAGATTCAGAATCGCATTAAAGATTTGCAAAGCCTTACAACCTTCATTCTCAAACACTTTAATAACTTATGTTTCTATCAGATAGGTTAGGAATCAGAAGAAGTATGACCTGGGCATGATGATTCACCCTTCCTCCATTGTTTATGTTATTTCCATCTGGATTGTGGATACCAGTGCGTGAGAAATGACTTGAAGTATCACTAGACGGGCTCCCAATTTCTCTCTGGGGACTAGGCACATCAGGTCTGAATGGATCGCCTCCACTGGAAACAGAATAGTCCGAAACCCTAGGATATGATCCCTCATTTGCACCACTTAAACGACTAGGGCTCAAGAAGCTAGAGAATTTTCCCTCATATACGGCCCGGTCTGAGCCGGGCTTTCTGGTGAGTGCAGGTGCATTTTTCCCGTAACGGCGTTCTTCATACTGAAAATCGTAAGGTGGGCTTTGAGAGTAGGAATGGTATGAACTTGCACGCCTCGTCTCGTCTCCATGGTTCTGAGAAATCAGTACAAGATCCCATGTTAGTCTACATTCAATTTGACATGAGCTGGTTGTGACTTAACCGAAAATCCATTAGCAACCACAAAAACCCATCAGTGAATAATGTTAAGAACTTTTAGAGTATACATGTATAATAACCTGTGAATCTCTTGGAGGCCGGCTAGACGACTTTTCTGTTGCATATCTATTTTCAACATAAACATTCTTGATAAATTCACGAACTTTATCAACATTGCTGCAATGCAAAAACTTATCGTCTAAGAACCAACTTAAGGAAGAAAAATGTAACAGAAATTACTTTAATTGGATACAAACCTATTGTCTGGAAGCCTCTGCTTTTGCGGGTCCCAGGACTTCAAAAACAGTTCCCTTGCACGCTGTAATAGTATATAATGAGTAACTGCATCAGAATGTTGCTAAACGGCAAATGAGTGAGCATGTATTTTACCTGATTACCGCCTTTCTGAAGTGCATCCACCTCTTGAGAAGTAAACTTGGCCATTGAAACAGACTTAACGCGATGCGTAAACTCACGACTGCAGTCAAAATGCATCACACGCATTTCAGGTTAAATATCATTCACTAAATCTCTTGGAGATAAAAAGCATGTAGCTGCGAACTATGGCCAGAGTAAGAGCCTTGAGGAGGTTGAACGTAAAAAACAAGAGGTTAAAAGCAAAAGTACACAAAAAACTAAACAGCACATATACAATAAGATCACAAATATCCCCGTGGGATCATGAACAATCAATCAGTCTATCACTCTATGCTTCTACATGACTTGGCTCGAACAGCCGCCATCAAACAGAAAACATAATCCATATATTTGACCCTTCAATCAAACTGTTGATAGAAGTTCATGCAACGATTTTACAATTCCGAGTGTAAAGAATCGAAAGGCATCTTCCTTTTGAGAGCAATATTTTCAGGAAAGTACTGCACCTAAAACCACAACGTTCCAGATTTCCAAAGCTATACCTTAACAATAGAACCAAAAGTTCATCTTGGGCAACACTTTGTAATAATTAGTCAATTCCCTTGGATCCATAACTACAACCAAAATAATGGAAAACAACAGATACTCACTGTATGCCACTGCATATGAGGCAAACAAATGTCCAAAAATTTGTGCACACATACTGAGGACCCTGCAACCAGAAAACATATCGATTCAAACCAAAAGAAGAAGCTTACCCGATACGCATTTACGGAAAGACAAAACGAAAACAGAACGCAAAATTACCAAGCTGTTGCAGTTGATACATCTGCGATTAGGCGGGAGCTTCATTAGACCCCTAATAATCTTTTCATTTTTTTCTTCTTCTCTTTTGCTGCTCATTTTCGAAATTCTCAGCTCGAAACAAGGAATCAAGCAATTTCCCCCAAAATTATGCAAGACGAAGACGATGGCAACAGATTTGATGGGCTCTTGAGCTTTGAATTCGAGTGAGAGAGAGAGGGCTAATCGATGGACAAAAGCTAGGGTTTTAGATTTATTTGTTTAATTAATTCTCAAAAAAAGGGATTTGTACAACGAGCTCTCTCTCTCTCTCTCTCTCTCTCTCTACTTTCAGAGGGTTTCGAATTTAGCAACAACGATTATGCTCGTCATTGTTGTGGCCGTTGATAAAGGCTAATGCCAGTCAACATCATGCGTGGTCTGTTTTGGTTTACTCGTGTGTTGGATTGGAATTAGAGATATTAAACGTGCTAGTTCTAGCGGTTTCGAGCTAGTCCTAACGGGTTTCGGGTTACACGGTTCGGGCTTAAAAAGCCTAAATTTAAACGGGCTACAAAAAAAGGACATAATCCTAACCTTAGCGGGCTTCGGGCTAAACGGGCTATGCGGGCTATAATAATAATAATAATAATAATCAAAAATAAAAAGAGTAAAAAATATTAAAAAAATAACAACGGCTAGTTAAAAACTATTTTCAACGGCTATTTAGTATTTACCGTCTATCACTATGTTTCATGTTTTTCCTATTAGTCGTTCTGATTGACTTAAATATTTTGGTATGAAGTACAATAACAATATTGTTAATAATTATCTTTCAAAATCATAATAACTCATTACAATTCATATTTACATGTGAAGTGGGATACAAAAATTGTAATATACAAGTAATTTAAGAACATATTACTTACTTGATACAAACATTTACACCGCCGAATATAGTTAAGCGGGCCAGTCCTAGCGGGTTTCGGACTAGCCCTAGCGGGCTTTGGGCTAAACGGTCTGGACCTAAAAAGCCCTGATTTAAACGAGCTATTAATAAAAGAACTTAACTTTATTTTTTTGGGCTAAACAGGCCGGTCCATCTGGCCAAAGACCATTTAACATCTCTGATTAGAATGACGGGAATAGACCTGGCAGTAGCACATTTTTCCGTGTAGTGTTAATTGCTCATACATATACAAAACACAATAATTTGTGTGACAACCATACTTTATGGGGAAAAAAAAAGTACATTTATAATATTAAATATCATATTTTCCACACTTTGTTTATGATATATTTTAAAGTATGATATTTTTAAATAAAAGTATGTGTACTTGTGAAAATAGTATAAAAGTTAATATTTTTTAAAATTCATGTAAAATTACACGATTTTTTTTAAATTGCATTCCTGTGACGAAATTTTTGGCATTCTTGTAACGATTTTTGTGTCTTTTGCAAAACGAAATATGATTACTTTTTTTTTCTTTCAAAACAAAACGCGTAATTTAATTTTCGACGAACAAAAAGTGAAGTAGTCGATCGTTTCGTATGTGACAAGCAAGATAATAAAAAATAACTACTAATTGTGTCTTACAATGTAACTTTTTCAAAATTTGTAATGTTATCACGACTACTTAATTTTGACAAAAATGGGAACATTAAATCAAGTGGCTACCATTTATTGAAATCCCTATCTGATGAAGCCCGAGAAACTTGTTCGAACAGCAATACGAGGTGGTGGAAAACTTTGTGGAAAATAAATGTTGTTCCGAAAGTTAAAAATTTTTTTATGGAAATTGAGCAATCCGGCTTTTCCTTCTTCTGAGAATCTGGCTCGGCATCACATAAATGTGGAAGTAAAATGCCAGAGATGCGGCAGATGGGAATTGAATGCCCATATCTTCTTTGATTGTAAGTGGGTCAAGCATCTTTGGAAATTGACCGGCTGGTGGGACATATTAGTGGGACGACGCGCCATGGGCTTTATTTCAACCTTCACTGGTATTTTTTAGGGACCGAGGAGAAATGAGTTTCCTTTGTTCGCCACTCTCCTTCGGCTTATTTGGCAAGAGAGGAATCGTCTACGACATGGTCGGGCAATGAGAAGTGTCGAACAAGTTTTGGCATCTGGACGAGGTTGGCTTGAGGAGTTTAGCCTTGTACATTCAAGCGCGACCTATTCAAACCGATCACTGACCCGGGGAGCTGTTGATTCTTGGCTTGGGCCTGGCACTTGCAAAAATGGTTTCACCCTTTTTTGTGATGCAACTGTACGTGAGGCGTCGATTGGTTTAGGAGGGTGGATCTGTGACTCAGAGGGAGTGTGTTGGGCCGCTTTCGCATCTCGACTATCCGGATCTTTTTCCCCGGCAGCTGCTCAAGCTATAGCCTTACGTTTCGGACTCCGCTGTACTATGGAATCCGGGCTAACGATTCAAACTGCTGCGACTGATGCTCTCTCCGTCATCCATGGCATTACTGAACGCTTTCCAAACGATATGTTGCAACATGTTTTCGAAGACATTATCAATCTCTTGTCATCCTTGAATTGTGGCGTTTGTAGTCATATTGCTAGAACTAATAATGTTATTGCTCATGAGCTAACAAAATGGGCTTTAGGGGCGTCTGACTTGTTTCTTTGGACGGACTATATGCCGTCTTTTTCTCTTCTTTTTTTCGGGATCTTTCGATTCCTTGACATTGGTTGAATGAATCTCGATATTTACCTTGCAAAAAAAAAAAAATCATGAACACTGAAAAACTCATAAGTAACTTTAATATTTATTGGTAATATTTGATATATAAGTAATAATTAAATATTGATCTTGCATGAAAAAATGTGAGAATTTGTATAATTGGATATATAGATCGTATAATAATTCTTTTAATTTAAATTATAAAAATAATAATATATTTTTTTAATTGTGACTGGCTGACTGCAAAGAAAAATTGGGGTAAAAAAAATCTTTTTTATTGTTTCTAATCAACTATATTCGTATTGACGGATAAAACAAAATTGGAAAAGTCTTATAATATCCAATCATCCACAAATTACAATAATGATTTCATGGGCGAGTCATTAGAGTTCTTCTAGCTTAATTCATACACTAGTTGTAAGATATCAACAATATATAACATATATGATATCACCATAAAAGTTCTTTGTGAGAATTTGGGAAAAATATGTTGTATTATTCAAAAGACATGTACATATATATAGGAACATAATGAGCCTAAATCTAATCCTACAAGATATAGACAAAATATATTATAACCATATATACAATATATTCTAACATACTAATATATGTTATCCATATATAGCATATATTCTAACACCCCCCCTCAAACTCAAGGTGGTATAGTAGATAGCAACTTGAGTTTGCAAAGTAGTAAGCAAAAGCGACCCGGAAGGAGAGACTTTGTGAAGACATCAGCTATCTGATCTGAGCGGCGCCGCCATGAGCAGCCAGCCCATGCCCTCCTCCGCCGCCTCCACGGCGGACTCGTAGGAGACGCAACCATAATAGCTCTGCGGTGGAGTCAGCAAGAGCACGATACTCAGACACGGCACTCGAGCGGGAAACTGAGGTTTGCTTCTGACTGCGCCAAGAGACAAGTGAATCACCAAATCCGAGCACACCACAAGGAAGCCGACGTCGACAGGAGTCGGCGGCTGAAAGGCGGCGGCAAACGGCAAATCCGAGCACACCACAAGGTAGCCGACGTCGACAAGAGTCGACGGCTGAAAGGCGGCGGCAAACGGCAAATCCGAGCACACCACAAGGTAGCCGACGTCGACAGGAGTCGGCGGCTGAAAGACGGCGGCAGTCGGAGATTGGGGTGGACCACACTCGCCGACCAAAGGGCTCAGCGTCACGACGAAGACTAGGCGCGTGAGAAGCGCACGCGCCGGCGACGGGGACGGGCTTTCAGGCGATGACTCGCCGGGTCACGTCGGAGATGATGGCGCGGGAGGTGAGAACCGGTGCTGGCCAGAGATGTGCGACAAAAGAAAAAATCTATAATGGATCCTAAACCTGCTCTGATACCATGTGAGAATTTAGGAAAAATATGTTGTATTATTCAAAAGACATGTACACATATATATAGGAACATAATGAGCCTAAATCTAATCCTACAAGATATAGACAAAATATATTATAACCATATATACAATATATTCTAACATACTAATATATGCTATCCATATATAGCATATATTCTAACATTCTTTATGAATAATGGGGAAAAAACAAATTATTATTATTATTGTTATTATTATTATTATTTTATGTTTTCAAAATATTTTGGATCCAAAAACATGTGAGTTTTAAGTGATGGACAGTCAGGCTAACGAACAGGTAAGCTGAATTTAGCATGTGAGAGTGACCTCATATATATTTTGTCTTGTCACCCTTAACCTTAATTTCCAACCTACAATTATTACTATTTTTTCTTTATTTTTATTTTTTTACTATTTTTTTTTTTTATTTTGGTTGTTAGTCTCGATTAGTGGAGTTTGTAACTCTCCGATAGTCAGAATGATGTATAGTCTCTGACGTTCATTTGAGAGTTAGAATGATTCGGGTAATTAATTGGTTACCGATTGTATTTTATTTGAGGTTAAACTTTCCTCTTGTTCGTTTCTTTCTGTCATGTGATAATTAGATTGATCATGTAACCCGTTGGTTACAAATTGTATCTTATTTGAGATGATGAGTAAGTGAAGCTCATCAGTCTACAAAACATGGCCCCCAACCACATTGCAAGTACAGTTTAGTTTGGTGAAGACAATTTATTACATCTCACCAAGTAATTTTGGCCTTTAGCCTTATGATTAGTCCATGGACACATACATATTTATATGTATGTTATATCCCTCTCATTTTTTCCTGTCAAAGGCAAACACAACCAAGAAGAAGAAGAAGAACAAAAGGGCCATCACTAGAATTGATTAGGTAATTCTTTAATTTTGAAAGCTTTTTCCTTTTTTTTTTTATTGGTACATTTTTTTTTTTTTTTGGTACATTGAAAGCTTTTTTTCTTTTACCACTCTCAACTCCATTCTCCTGTAATTAAGGTAATCTGCTAATGAGTTGGTGCATTTTTAAAAA